ACTATACTTATCACAGATCATAATTTAAAACTAGCATGGAACCATAAAATTACATCACTAGACAGGACAATACATTATAAAAAAGAGCTATAGATCGCCAGCAACTGAAGGTAGATCACCATACTGGGGACCATGGGCATTTACAGTACCTTTGCTACCTGCATGGATCCCAGCAGGATTTACATCATCCCTTCAGTTGTTGGGGTCGATTATGAAATTTAGCCGAATTTAAAAGAACACATATTCTACGATTAAAAGTATGATAGGAATAACGTACTTCGAATGATATGGACTTACTATGCCCTCTCAGGGGACAATAATTTTACAGTACTTTAACCCTCATTAAGGGCACAGCCAATAACAATCTCAGTTCACAACAAGAAAGAAGTGAGCAAAGCTCACATACCCCCGTTATCCCCGTGGGCAACAACAAATAGTAAATAGTTTCTTAATTAATGAAATATTACATATTTCTAACTTCAATGTTTTAAAAACTAAGATTGAGTTCCAGTGGCAATTGAGGGAATAATCAACACAGTCAAGGAGGACATGCTTTACAGTGATTCTTTCGTCACAACGGATACAAAACGGAGGATCGAAGGTTAGCACATGAGCTCAAATTAAAGGATTTAGAAATAAGCTAGAAGTCAGGATGGTTCTTCTGATAGAGTCACTGATTCTTACTGATCTTTACCTAACTTGATGAGTCTGAGATGGAGGTTTTCTTCAGGCAGTTGGAAAGAATAGCGGCAGAGTTACAATGGCCTGAGGAATATGGTCGATGACATGTTTCAACCAAGTCAGCGAGCCTGACCACACGATCCCGTCAGTCGCCTTTTACGACAAGAATAGTCGCCTTTTACGACAATCATCGGTTGCTGAAGACCTTTTCTACCCCGGATCTTCAAGGGCCCGCTGCTACAGATGGACTTTGGTGCTGCTCCTCCTCCCCATAAAAGAATCTATCGCAAGGTCAACAACCGTCTTACCAGACTTAAAGAACAGTTGGTGTCAGGTATCAAGACTCCACTGCAATATTTGGACTCTGTTGGGAAACGTTTGAGGCTTGGCTGACTTTAATGTAGACACTAACTTTGTGAGTCTTGTAAGTTATATTCTTGTGTTTTGATGACTGAGGATGAGTGCTTAGGTTTATTTATACACATGTGCAATATGTTTTAGCTGAAATATGAAGTAAATAAATGATTAAATGCAGTATGAATTTATCTCTTTCGTCTTTATGGTGTTGTACAGTATCTGACAACTTGGGAATGAGTGGGACTAGCCTATTTTCCTTCTGGGTAATAGCTGTTGGTAATAAGGGTACTCAACCACGATATGTGTGAACTGTCAGACAACTGGGGTATCTGACAAACGCCGCTGACACGAATTGGCATCTGGTGATTGCGTGGGTTAATCAAAACAGCGCCGGCTAGACGTCTGAGAGTTGGAGCGTTGTTTCCCTTTAAAATACATAACAGGAGTGTGAAGAATTAATATTTAACGATGTTATGCGGAACAAACTCTCGAATGGAACATTAAACCGGTGGATCGTATCCCCAGGCAGAGTTTGTGCTGTGTAGGATCGATGTTGAAATGAGATCAAGCGGAATACAATCGATAGAAACTTGAAGCTTTATTTGGTGCAGTTTAAATGCTTGTCTCCAAAACGAGGTCCAGCTGAAGTGAGCAGGAACTAGGTGCAGAGAACGGGGTCGAGTTGGAGAGAGCGAAGTCTAGGTGCATAGAACGGGGTCAAGTTGGAGAGAGCAAAGTCCAGGTGCAGAGAACGGGGTCGAGTTGGAGAGAGCAAAGTCCAGGTGCAGAGAACGGGGTGGAGTTGGAGAGAGCAAAGTCCAGGTGCAGAGAACGGGGTCGAGTTGGAGAGAGCAAAGTCCAGGTGCAGAGAACGGGGTCGAGTTGGAGAGAGCAAAGTCCAGGTGCAGAGAACGGGGTCGAGTTTGAGAGAGCGGGTCCATGGCCAGGTGCAGAGGACGGGGTCGAGTTGGAGAGAGCGGGTCCAGGTGCAGAGAACGGGGTCGAGTTGGAGAGAGCGGGTCCAGGTGCAGAGAACGGGGTCGAGTTGGAGAGAGCGGGTCCATGGCCAGGTGCAGAGGACGGGGTCGAGTTGGAGAGAGCGGGTCCAGGTGCAGAGAACGGGGTCGAGTTGGAGAGAGCGGGTCCAGGTGCAGAGAACGGGGTCGAGTTGGAGAGAGCGGGTCCAGGTGCATAGAACGGGGTGGAGTTGGCGAGACCCGAGTCCAGGTGCAGAGAGAGAGGTCGAGGTGCATCAAGCAGGATCCGGGTCTGCCTTCTCAGAATACAAACCTTCTGATTATGACATTTCCTACAGAGTGAGTTAGTTTAAGGTCGCATGGTCAGTATCTCCGCCGCAGAGCCAGGGGACGGAAACCTACATCCTTGATGCCAATGGGTAAAGTGACAAGGGATAGGTTTTTTTATATAGAATCACGAAATATCGCGTTTATAATTAACGAAAATAGTTGTATGTCTTGAAATGCTTATAAAGTGACAATATTCCCCACAATAAGAAATAATTACAGTGATGACAAAAATCGCAAAGCGGGCTTTTCATGAAATATCCATCATCACTGAGTTTTGATCAAGTAGCTACAATCGGGTAAGGGTTTACCGTCATGTGGCTGGGAGCGGCTATGTTTTACAAGGTCCAGGTAAATTTTGAAAGTTGAAAAGATTGAAAGCTGTACACCGATTCCTACTTCACACTTCCGAAATTATTATTGATCCCGCTAGGCGCCTCTTACGACAAGCATAGTCGCCTTTTACAGCAAGCATGGGTTGCTGAAGACCTTTTCTATCTTCACGGACCGGATTAAAATAAAACAACTACTACACGCAAAAACTAAATTCACCAAACTAATCAATCAATCCCAATTGCGTGGATCGATGCTCATGTTGTCAATCACTGGACTGTCTGGTCAAGACTCGATTATTTTTCATACTGCCATCATATAGCTGGAATATTGCGGCGTTAAAAACACAAACAAACAAATCTTCCGTAAACCGTTCTGGAATGATTAGGAGCTCCATAACTCTCTTTCGCGTCTTACTTTCCACTTCCGTAAAGATGATTTAGGAAATAGAAACCCTAAAAGCTGGAATTTTATTGCTAACTTTAAACTTTCTATTTCATAGTTTGGGAAGCTAATGTTAACGGTGGCCAATTTTTCGTAATGCTACCTATATGTCAGAAATGAGAACGATGAGAATTTACGACAAACATTCTCGTTGGTATTTACGACAACCGATGTTATCTTAAGCTTATACGCAATTGATAACGCAATTGGGATCGATGACATGCATCAACTAAGTCAGCGAGCCTGACCACCCGAACCCGTTAGTCGCCTTTTACGACAAGCATAGTCGCCTTTAACGGCAAGCATGAGTTGCTGAAGACCTATTCTACCCCGGACCCTCACGGGTCTGAACGGAGGTGGGACAACGGTATGAGGAATAGCGCCAACACGCACTGCAGTACGGTAACGGTAAAGGGGGATGACAACATAAGAGGGGTCGTCTCATGATAATTTAATTTACTCGCAATCTGACTTGCACATGTCAGCCCATGTCATCAGAAGCGCTTGTGTCACTGCTGATGGCCACAGCTATAGGTGGGACTATTGCCAGCTGAAGTCCATCACGTGACCAGTATTTTCGTTGACGACTTTAGTGGAGCTAATGGAAATGTAATGGAGTCATTATTATTTAACCCTAACCACAAACACTCGAATGGGGCATTGAAACCAGGAGCCGTTCATCCAAGCAGATGTGATGGTGTACAAGATCGATGTTCAGTACAGGTTAGGCTGTATAAGATCGATTTACTGTGTTATTTGGTGCACTGTAAATGTTTGCCTCCAAAATGTAATATGTTAGTGATTTGCAAATATTATGACCTATATTATATCTCAATTTAATAGTTTGAATCATCTTTAGAAACTTTTATTGAAAACGAAAAGATGTTTATCTCCTAATCATGGGTACTGCTATCACATTTCTCTGGAACAACACTACAGTTTCCATCCCGTCGCTATAGGACTCAGATATTGCCCATTTTGGATTCCATTAAAAGTAGAAATTTCATTTCAAGCGTTTGTAATTAGAAAACGTTCTAGGCTGTTATTTTTTTTTTGTTTAACGGCGCACTCATAAGTATTCCAGCTACTTGACGGTGGCCTTCAGATAACCGAGTCTGGACCAGTATTTGATATCACGAGAAACGTGCACAACCGTCGAGGAACGATGCCACGCAAGCAAAATTGTTGAGCGTGACGACCTGATCAATTAAAGTCACCCCTTGCAGCAAGATGTTGAGTGCTGGTCTGAAGCAAGCTGCCTGGCCGTGGATTTATGGTTGATGGTTGATGCATGTCATCGATCCCAATTGCGCGGATCAATGCTTATGATATCAATCACTGGATTGCCTGGTCCAGACTCGATTACTTACAGACCGCCGTCATATAGCTATAATAGTTCTGAGTGCGGTGTTAAACAACAAACAAATTATGTCCAATGCTTATTGGTTCATAATAGTCCCGTTAGTCGCCTCGCATAGTCGCCTTTTAGGGCAAGCATGGGTTGCTGAAGACCTATTCTCCCCTCGATCTTTAGGGTCGGTTCATAATAGTGCATCATTTTATTATTAATATTTTAATAAATAGTTTAGTCAATGTTGGCAAGCACATGTACTGACTGGGATGGGCAGTTCCACCTCAGCTATCAGATCATTTAGCAGACTTGTGTATATGGCCTATTGCACACGCCGTCTATTGTTAATCCATCTCTGGTCGACGAAGCTTGGCTGCAGCTTGCATGCATGGTTGCAGGAACAAGTTTACGTAAACCTTTGATTTTTATACCCAGAAAGATGTTAGGTCCCCAAATATATAAATATTCAACACAACTTCCTTGTTTGAAAAACTGTCCAATTACTGAGAGGTATTGGCGTAAATGACGAAGATCATGTGACAGAAAATGTCGGTGTCATGGTAGCGGGTGTTACTTATAGGCATGCGCGCTGTGCCAGGTTGCAGTTCCTACCCAGCATTCCACTGCAGGGTTGTCTGTGTCAATCATCAATCATGTTGAGACTGGGTGCAGTTGCTCTCCTTCTTGGTAAGATATCTTCATTGTACTTTTATATTCACGTACTTGCGGGAAATAACTCTCTCTGTGTTATAAATAATGATAATTGTATCGTTGAGACATTGGAACTATACAGTCGTCATAAAAGTTTACAGATTATTTTACTTTACTGCTGCAGAGAAAGGTTCAAGTGTTTTGGTGATGTGCTTTTATTTACCAAATTCTTATTTCAGAATTTACATGCGGCTTAAGATGTAACTGACGAGCAAAACTAACTATACCTCTCAGATGATTTTATCAAGCGTTTGATTTTCAATTGAAAATGTCTTAACTTAGTGATGTTATATCCATAAAATTAACTTACGGCTTTTAGTCGATACTCAAAGAAAGCTTCTACATGTTTTTCTTAAAGAATATAATTTGATTTGACATTTAAAAGATAATTCGTATATTACAGAACTTAGACATCTCATTTTTGAAAATCAATAAATATTTTTTTCGGCACAAATTTACATTTCAAAAACGGCGGGCGTCATATAGTAGCAAATTCATTTCTGACCCCAGTCTTTATTGTACCATATTAATTTTTTACAAAATTACCCAGTCACACATTACTTTTAAAAACTGTTGCAAGAATGTGTTATGGTTAAATGGTTAAATTACATTTCACAAAAGTTCTCTCAATATTCAATTACATACAAAAAAAAACTCGGAATACACTCTTTTGTCCCTCGGGGGCCACGGGTGGCCCAGTCGTCTTAGGTACCGCAATTAGCTGTGCAGAATTGCGTCCCTTCCGCGCGCCAGAAACTTATGATCGTGGGTTCGAATCCCGGTTCGCCCCGATTATGTTTCTACGTTTGTCATTCGTGCTCGTAGGTTTCCCCAAAGTGGTAAACGTTTACCATCTGACCCAAAATACAAGGGAACATCTTCTTTATCCGGAGTTGTATTGTTTAAAACAATGTTGCTCGATAGACCAACCTTAGTTATAGGACCCGTGAAGATCCGGGGTAGAATAGGTCTTCAGCAACCCATGCTTGCCGTAAAAGGCGATTATGCTTGCCGTAAAAGGCGATTATGCTTGTAGCTCGCCTACTTGGTTGATGCATGTCATCGCATACCAATTGCGTGTACGATGCTCATTATGTCAATCACTGATTGTCTGGTCTAGACTCGATTATTTACAGACCGCCGTCACATAGCTGGAACATTGCTGAGTTCGGCGTCCAACAACAAACAAACAAACAAACAAAACGTTTTAATGTCATGATGTAACATGGCAACGAGCACCTGCATATGAGCACCAGCTTGCAATGTTATGAAATGTGCTGACATGATTAATCGATTCTGAAGTTCTGACTGAACGAGACAAGGTAGTTCATGACTCATCACGGGCGTGTATTTAAGAATCTGCGCAGTATAAAGATCATGAGTTTACTGATGAACAATTTCCTCCCAATTACTGGATGATGCATGGGAGAAATAGGCATATATGTCATATTTTGCCGTTGCTTAAGTTAGAAAGAGATCTGGTGTCGAGAAATATCAATCATAATGGTACAAAGCAGACACAACAACCTGCATCGATGGTGAATTAATTGTTTTCTTACCCTTATCAGTCATCGAGGATTTCTGCGATTCCGCGATTTGCAGAAAATGTAACTTACCACAAAATTGCAGAGAAATCGCAGAATTTGCATTTTTATCAATCGAGACACTAAGTTTCATTATTTTAAGCTTTTCTGTCAAATTTATCCCTCGAATGATGACCAAGCACATCCAAACATACGAAATATGAATCCTGCAATGAAACGAAATTTGAAATAGATAATGCTCACTTTTAAATGTTCTTGTGGTATTATGACTACATACATGTAAAGTTGACATGTTAAGCCAAACCTGATATGTCAAAATGCAAGAGATAAAAATGTTTAAAAAAGAGAAAGAAAGGAGTTTGTATTTATTTTTGCGGGGAAAATGATTATGTTTTTACCACATTTTATTGCAGAATTTTGGTAATTTTACCGCAGAATTCGACTGGGGCTGAAACCTTATATGGCTCAAAATCCTTGTTTTGATCAATCATATTAATATCATTTCTGTACTTACTTATTTATTTTTGACAGTTTGCGCAGTTAATTTACGTGTTGTGTACGCCATTGTTATAAAATTTTTTTATCAGTTTTAACTGTGCTATAACTATATAAGGGACGGGTGGCTCAGGTTTTAAATGCATCTGTGTAGAGTTGCGTCCCTTGAGCTCACCAGGAACCTATGATTATGGATTTGAATACCTGTTCATCCTGATTATGTTTCTAGGTTTGTCAGCACCATCCGATACCTGCATCACTTCGGGTTTGCCTCCCACATTGAGCTGACACGCCGTGAGATATCTGGAATAATGTTAAAAGCGGTGTTAAACCCAACTCATCCCCCGACTATAGTTCTTTAGATACGAAATCGGTAGAGAGGCAAATGTATATCTTGATGCCTGATTTTGTCTTTATGGTGTTGTTACAGCATTATACGTACTTAGCATTCTACCTCCCAAAAATGTGCTTACTTTTCTCTGCAAAGCCTTTTGAGCCATGATGTTGATCGTTAAATAAATTACTAAAATGCAGCAAATATTTCATTTCCGTGTTGGTAAGTCGATACGGAGGTTGTTCGTAAATTACCTAACACTAGATGTCATTTGAGGCACTGGTGAGACAATATGAAACACGTTTTTGCAAAAAGCTTAAAAGTGCTGCAAAAATGTCGCGAAAGATTCTAGAAAATGACACGATAGACTTGCGATAGTGCCTCAAAGTGCAACGATATTAGAGACATACTAGTGGCTGTGCACTAATCGCAAAACCTTAAATATGGTGGTCGTTTAAATGGATCAAACAAAACCTTTACAACACAATTCCAAATGTTAGCGTTGTACTATATATGCAAAAGGTTAAAAAAAAACTTGCAAAAACAGATATGCCCTTACATTTAAAATGTGTAGCGATGTTTTGGTGTTATGATGTCACAATGCTGTCTTAGTCAAAGAACATATAGTTACTTTTCAAATGTTATTGTCTTAAGCCACGAGGGCCGGTCGTGAATATTTCACAGGATGACATATATTTGACGATATGTTAGTTTAGTTTGCGCTTGCCCGATTATGCCATTCGATATCTGCGATGGAGTGACATACAGTAAAGTACGGTTATAACGAACTCAAAGGGACTACTAATTTTAGTTCGTTTTAACCGTAGTTCGTTATAAGCATATACAGCATAACTACAGCAAATAGTCGGGACCAAAAAAGTAGTTCGTTATATCCGTCAGTTCGTTATAAGCGTGTTCGTTATAACCGTAGTTTACTGTACAATGTTTCATTAAAGCGATACTCATACACGACAGTTCGAGGTACGCCGTGAACACCATAACACACCAACATGGGCATGCTTACAAAAGACACTTACATATTTCATACAGTAAACTATGTACTCCGTTGTGCACATTCTTAGAGTTAGTAGTACTGACTTTCGAAAAGTTTATTATCCTTACTAAATAATTAATCTTAACGAAAAAATATTACTTCGACTTTCTGTCCTAATTATCCCAACATCATGACCCTTGCACCGTGGATCTAAGGCACCGTGGATCTGTTTGCTTCGTCCCTTATCCGCTGATTGTTGTTTGAATGATTCCGGGGTAGAACAGGTCTTCAGCAACCCATGCTTGCCGTAAAGGTGACTATGCTTGTCGTAAAAGGCGACTAACGGGATCGGGTGGTCAGGCTCGCTGACTTGGTTGACTTGGATATCAATCACTGGATTGTCTGGTCTAGACTCGATTATTTTACAGACCGCCGTCATATAGCTGGAATATTGCTGGGTGCGGCGTTAAACAACAAACCAAACCAAAAGCTGATTGCTGTTTGAATCAGAACTCCGATTACGATTCTGTGTGTGTCACCAAAGAGGTAAATGTCGAAACTCATATAGCCTTTCGTCACAAATTCATCTGAAGCGCCATGACACTGTTTGTTTGTTTGTTTGTTGTTTAACGCCGCACTAAGCAATATTCCAGCTATATGACGGCGGTCTGCAAAATAATCGAGTTTAAACCATGCAGTCTAGTGATTGACGTCATGAGCATCGATCCAAGCCAATTGGGATACGATAACATGCATCAACCAAGTCAGCGAGCCAGACCACCCGATCCCGTTACTTGCCTCTTACGACAAGCATAGTCGCCTTTAACGGCAAGCATGGGTTGCTGAAGACCTATTCTACCCCGGATCGTCGCTGGTCCCATCCTTTAATAAGTAACGATAAACACCGTAAACAATGTGTTCACATCACAATACTTTGGCAGCTGATCAAACAACACCATTTCAATTTAAGTTACACGGAATTATGTTTTGCAATGATTGCAAATACCTCGATCATAGCAAACACGGATTAACAAGTTTTAAAGTAGTGAAGACTGAAAATGTTCACACTCCAGCCAAATAGCCTGTTGAAAATTGATTTCCATTTCGTTAAAACCATCCTTTAGAAATTTATGATACTTTTTATTTATTTATTTTAAGAAATGTTTTATTTCACACGAGGTGCCACGATTCATGATGATTAGCCGAGAGGGAATTGCGCCACCTCGTGCTTCAGTCGTGCTTCAGTGACTACGTTGTGGTCTAGAGACGCAATTCAGTGAATGCCGATACAACGACTGGGAACTAATTACTTTTTATCGATTTAAATTTTCGTTTTATTTTCCATCATCACATTTATTGATTTAGCAGGCTGTGCATCATTCTTGTGCATTTTGCATGAGTTCAGTTTCCAAACAATACGAGTGTTTTTTTTCACTTTCCATCAATCGACACCTTCCTGCATCAACTGAACTGGATCACACAATCCAGTAATTGACATCATGAGCATCGATCCACGCAATTGGTTGGTTGGTTGCTTGGTTTGCTGTTTGACGCCGCACTCAGCAATATTCCAGCTATATGACGGCGGTCTTTAAATAATCGAATCTGG